TAAAAAGGAAAATTGAAAATAAATTTGAATCTTTTAAATTAAAAATTAAATTAAATCTACTCAAGTTGAACAGATGAAATATAACTTTTATATGTCATTAAATGAATAAATATATATATAATATTACAAGTTTTAATAAAATAAAAAGAGTTAATAATTAAATTACATCTAAAATTATATTATATAAAAACTGTACATTAAAAATTGTCCCTATATCATTTTTCTTTCTTTAATCAATAATTTTTTTTTCAACTATTATAAACTTAATACTAATCAAAATAAAGATAATAAAGCAGAAAAATGGAAAATCAAGACCTCCTATTTTTCTTTGTTAGTAAATATAAAAATTTTATTAGAAAAGAGCCCAAGAAATTCTCCACTTCAATTAAGCACTTATAACCCTTAATTTAATCAAAGAGATTTTATTTATTGACTTATATTTAACCATGTTAAACTTTGTGTAATTAACGAAGTGGTTAAACCTACTAAAATAATTAAAAAATTGATATACATGATTTATTTTTATAAAATTTTTAATTTAACAATTGTTTTTTTCAAAATATTGATTAAAATATAAATGTTTAGATAGATCTTCCAAAAAAATGTGTATTTTTAAATAGATTTAATTGAATAAATTATTGAAGGATAAAAAATATGTATTTTTAATTAAAATTAAGGGATAAAAAAATAAAAAAAATAAAAAAACAAAAATTATGCAAAACTTCAAAGTTGAAAATTAGAATTAATATTTAACTTATATTATTCTAAGAACAAGGAAAATGGTATCGATAAAAAAAAAAAAAAGAACAAGGCGAAAGTGATTCTTACCAACTAAAAATGTGTTTCCAAACAAAATCAGGGCCCGCAACTGCACCCATGAGGTTGGGGACATTGCCGTTCCTGCAAATTGCAAAGACATTCCCGTTCCCGCTAGGATCTTCTGCCTCCGCAATCTATATTACAACATTAATTTAACTATTTTACTTTATTATTTTAAAATAAATTGTTTTAAAAAAATAGATTAAGGCCAAAAAATATATTAGGTTGGGTTTGGTTTAAAGTAATTAAATTTTAGTATTGAGCTAAAATTAAAAATGATAAATAGGTATGATTTATGATTATAAGTTAAATATTTAAATTTGATTAAATTCATACTATATAATTTAAATTTAAAACTTTTTAATTTTATTGAGAGAAAATTCAAAACCTTTTAATTTTATTGAGAGGAGAGTATCACTAATTTATTTAATTGGCGAGGCAGAGTTTTATATTTTTTGAGGTTTATGGAGAAATTTAGTATCTTTCTGTTTGTAACATACTGAGTATGACTGACTGATGCTAGATGTATGTCATTAATTCTAAGAGTAGCTTCCTTTCTCAAATTTCAACGAAGACCCCTTCTGAGTGACTGATTTCTGTGGAAAAACTTTACTGTTCAGTAAGGCACTTACTTTTCAGCCAGTGTAAATGATAGTGACTTTCATTGACATGTTCATAAGCAAAATTTTCTTTTAGATGGCATGTTCTGCACACACTGAGGTCTAGTTCACCGTGGTTATGAGATTGAATGAGTCAATGACTCAATATCAATGACAACAGTGAAGTGAATTGTAGAAGACCTCTACACAAACGGGTGCCGTGGGTCTGATCCGACACCGACTATGGCTGTTCCCCTCACTAACCTCCAACATGCATCGAAGGCCATCCATCCTTAATATTTAATTTGAATGAACGAAAGTCTTCTTCTTCTTCTTTTTTTTTTAAAGGTTAGGGTGCCTTGGAGCATGTTAAGTGCACCTCTGCCTTCGATCGTCGAATTCTAGTTGGGGAATAAAGATTATGGATGGAATTGATGCTATTTTTATTAAAATCGGTTTTCGATTGTAATTTTTCCTATTCTCTATGGATTTGAGTTTATCTCTTGAGCTCAGTTTTGAGTAGCCATGTAATTTGAATATATATCATTATCTAAATTTTATTCTTTGATCGAAAACCATTAACACTCTGGGATTTTGTAAAAAACTTGTGAATTTTATACTATTTCTATCTCAGGATCGTTGAATTTTAGGTGTTGGGCCATTGAGAGTGAGAAGTGATTAAATTTGGTTTCTTATTTTGCAGAATCTGTCTTTGTGTCTCAAACAAAAATATGGGATCACAATTCCAGACTCAGGTTGGGAATCTGTCTTTGTCAATCCAATAATCATTTTTGGTTTTTTGTTCCATCTTAGATTGTGGAAAAGTTTTTGGGGGCACATTGATGTTCTACGCATTTCTTCTGAGTAATGTTTAAACTTTTGTTAACAGCGTCATAGTGACACTGAGGAGGAGGAAAGTGATTACGAAGATGAGTTTGAAATTGTTAGCAAGATGAAGATTAAGGAAGAATTACATGCAAGTTGGGACCAGCCAACCGGGTGTATTGTCTTCCACGATGTTGAGCACACAAGGCTACAAGTGTTGGCATTCCAATTGACTAAGAAGCTTTTAGTTCTTCTTAAAAGTAATGAGAGGGCAGTAAAGGCAAGGATTGGTGGTGGTGGAGGATTAAATCTACCCATCAGGCAGGAGAAAACCATTATTATGCAGCTGGTATAGCTTCTACTGGTGGTAGGTGGCAAGTACATGTCTTTCCCTCAGGGAAAGCAAGGTAGTAGTGGGCGCATAGGATGTGGTGCTTGTGGTGCAAGAACAGTGGCTTTTGATCAAGTTGCTGGAGGGGGCTATCGGTCCAATCAGTCGCGAGAAGCAGTTAGATATTTCAAGAGGATTGCTTCATCGATTAAAGGTTCCTAGATGGATGCTTCAAGCCACATGGTCAGTCTTAACCATGGGGTGCGTGCTTAAATAATCATGGTAGCAAATGATCGGAAATGTGACTAATTGTTAGAGAATTTTGGCTTTGTTTCTGAAATTGTAGTAGACCAGACCATATGTTTTGTCTTTGAAATGCTTCTCATCTATTTATTTGATCTCCAGAATTTTGGAATGTAGTGCTTTCAGTAAGGGATACTTAACTTTGTCGCCATTTCTTTGAACCATCCTTCTTCAGTGCTTTTGTTTGTTCCATCATTTTTCTGAATGCCAAGCTTTTGCTTCAACATCCCTGACTGCGGTTTCTATTGCATCTTCATTTGCTTGTTTTGCAAGACTGACGTTTAAAGATCAAAAGCTAAGCACCACGAACCTTAGGGGAAAAAAAAAAAGAAAAAAGGGCATTATATGTATGCACCTCACATCAAATAGCAATTTTCTTAAATATGAACTCAGAAAAATTATAGACACCAGAAGAATCCTGTTGCATAACAAAGTGAATATAAAATTAAAGTTCACTTACAACCATAAAACATGGATAATTAAAAACAAAGACTCATCTGGACCTACTCAAGCATGACAAAATGACCTTAAAGAGTTACTGCAGTAGGAGTAGCAACAAAGACAAACATAAAACAAAGACTCATCTAGACTCATCTAGACTCATCTAGACCTACTCAATCTTCTTTTTCCCAAAGCAGAATGCTTTTATTCTGCCTGCCAAGGATCTTTTCTCACTGAAAATTGATGATCT